GAAATGATAGACAGAAATACATACCTGCAGAGTTATGGAGGAGTGATGTTTGGGTGTGCCTGCCAGCAACACAAGGATTATTAAGTCATATGGCTTCCCTCTCTGCCTACCAGTTCTATATTTTATGTGAATTTAAGGATTGTTAAAAGTTTAAGGGAAGGACTGAAGACTGTGGCTTCTTTCTTCTTTTTAGGTTTCTTACTCAGAAGGAGAAATATTTAAATGCATCTCAATCCATATGGGTATATAAAGAAAAGCTTTGTGATATGTATAGAATATTACCAGAGAGTGGAAGGTCTGCAGGTCAGATAGTGGTTTTCTGACAAGGGCTTGTTATAAGCCCCGTGTACTTTTAAAGGATGCTCAAGCCAAACTGTGCAACAAAAATTTGTTGACTATGCTCAACATTTCAATTTTGTCCTCTTTATGAAGTAAAAGATGAGAGCAAAGTTGCAAGAGCTAATATCCAGGAGATGCTAGCAGCATCATTTGAGACTGGTTATTATGATGAGTCAGGATTAGGAGATCTGTAATTATAAAAGGTTTATTTCACAATTGTTCCACATTGAGAGCATTTAGAGCTCAATGCAGTGTTTGTGTTAATACACAGAGATATGGACCCTCAGGAAAAGGAAGCTAATGGTAAACACAAACCAGGGTGTTACTATTTGTTCTCATTGGTATTGTTGATTGCCTAACAAATCCTTTGTGGGCAGTAGACATTCGATGTTCCACACGGTATATGGGCACTAAATTACATAACTGTTTATGCAACTAGGATTGTAAATTGGTACTTAGGCTGGGAAGTTTTATCAAGTGATAGTGCTATATTTTTAAAGGAGAATATCGCTTAATTAAAAACAGGCTTGGTTATTGAAAAACAAAAAGGAACAAAAATTAAGATACCCCATTGAACAGAAAAAGAAAAGGACAGGCTTGTAGTTCTTTTGTCTTTTTTATTGTGTACAGGAGCTGTTGCTGATGCAGAGGTAAGGGTTAACATTTAAAATGGACTGATTGCCTCCTGATTTCTTGCACATAAAGCCATGAGAAGTTCAGGGAGAGACTTCTTCCCCTAGTAATGAAGCTCTCTGCTGCTAATGGCCCATGCAGACTCCCTTGGCTCCTCCAAATTAGAAATACTTTTGTGCTCCTTTGCTTCATTAACAGTAAAGAGAGGGAGATTGGTGGCTATTTAGGGCACGGGGAAATTAGTGGCTATTTAGGGCAAGTGAAAATTGTAGTAATTATGGTGGGTAAATTCTCTTCATGGCGTTCTTAGACCCTTGATGTTCTTTTGGAGCTTTTCAGAAGAGCCCGCCACTGTCACTGCTGGCATTTGTCCTAGAAGGGTGGGAGCTGATTTGGCTTTGAATTTTTGACCCCCTATGATGGTCAAACCAAGGCATCGTGCCTGGTGGGAGAGGATGTGTTTTTACATTTTGATTTGCTTTTCAGAATGTACTATATGATTCTGTCCACTACTAGCTGAGATAAAGTTTTATTTGATAACCTCCTCCTCTACTTGTATTGCATTACAGAAAGCTGACGCTGTATGTGAGTGCCTGTGGAACTGCATCCTGAATAAACCTTGGTTGAGATGGATGTGGTGGCTTGATAAGATCAGGGCAATGCATGAAGAAGGAAGAGAAAGGATAATTTAGGATCACAATATGCTATAGTAGGTCTCTGGTTGATCAAAGGGTACCATTAGATTACTAGATGCTGATTGGAAGGAAAAGGGCATCAAAAGAAAGTTACAAAAGTGCTAAAGACAAATAGAACTGAATTAATGTTAGAGTTTAGTTGTTTTACAATCTTTGAAGATGGGGTCATGTTTGTAACGGCCTTCAGAAACTGGGGAGTACAGTCTGAAAAATAGCTCCTTGAATAATTGAAGTTACAATCTATAGAGACTCAACCAGGAGAAATCGTATCCTAAAAATTAATTTATAAATGTGATGCTGAGGAAAATTGGAAAAATAATTAAGTCTAGTCAAACTGACCAGGAGGATTCTTGGGGCCACATTGCTGGAAGTAAGAAGCATTTCTGGAAATATCTACCTATTGATTGTATTGTAACATATTAAGATAATATTTTCAAGATGGTATGCATATCTTAAGAAAAGAGTGACAAAATATAGACTGGTAAGGCAAAGTAAGTAATAAAATGTAGGTTGGAAGAATTAAATGTGAACAAATGGATGGATTTCTACAAATAGAATTTTTCCTTTGATCTATAGTTTAAATAACTGTTTGTAAAACTGGTTTAATGAGAGCATTTCACAAGGAATATAAGAAATTTAAGTTCATAAAGAAGCCTTAGCATTTTCCTAAACCAGAGCTCACTATTAGTGTAGATTGCTTGTATACTTGTATATGCCCAGGAGAGGTTTTTCTGACCACTAATCATAAGTTTTTAAGTCCTTTTGGCAAATACCCTATGGAGGTTGACTGTATTGAGCTCTGGTAATTTATGATTAAACTATTTATCTCCTTCAATTAATAAGTTTACAAGAAATCTCCTGACACTTGTATGGTTTTGCTGGGTAGACTTTCCTGTGTGAGAGTCAATTTTTTTTTTACTATGAATTATTAAATGGAAACTCTGATTTATCAATTAGTTTCTCCTGGATTTAGGCCTTGTGATTCATTTTCCAGAGCCTATATGTCCCTGTGGAAGCTGAAAGGATGCACTTTCAGAACTTGAAACGCTCTAAACAGCATCCTACACTGTGGGGAATCCCACTTTATATATGGACCATGGTACCTACTGCAGTCCACTCATGTACCTCTTTGGTATTTCTTGGTTCCAATTTGTCTCTTCTTATCCCATTTGTTTTACATTTATTTCTCAGTAGCCTGTCTTTATTCATTAAGTATATTAGTTGGGCCAAATTGTGCTGGATGATCTCCTGGGAATCTGGGACTCATGGTTTCAGCCAAGGGAGGAGAGAGTCATAGTGGCTGAGGTCCAATGGCTCGAAAATACAAGGAAGAAAATTAAGCTTTCTAATTCCATACACAGAGAGGGAAATTGAGGATGTGAATGCCCCATAACTAGAAAAAAGGACAGGATAACGTATGGAGGGAATTCCTGCAGTGGATTAGAAGTTAGAGCCAATGACTTTCATGTCCATTCTGATTCTAAGAATATGAGTTGAGGATTGTTCTTTAGTTCTAATTTAAATTCTGATATACATGTGGAAAAAAAAAATCTAAGTACCCCAAGCCCAAAGAGAGGGAGAAGTTCCTCTACTCCAAGATTTTTAAAAGTTCAGTTAATGCTGCATAGGGAAATTTGGGGAGAGAGTAGTACTTGTATCCTCGATGCCCCAAGCATTGTTCATCCCTTCCATTTTATTCATTAATGAATGAAACATATTTAATCTTACAAGAAATATATATCAATGTTCTTTACCACGAAAGGTTTTGAGTGTTTTTAAATGACCAAATATCCTAGATAAACCTCTAGACGTTAAAATAAGTAGTACAAAACGGCAAAATCGGTACATCTGAGGTTTTGGTTTTTGTTTCTTTGAAACTGAAGTTGTTGTTTTAAATGGGCTATAGGTAGATGGTTACTGAATAGGTTATCTATGTTATCTCTTTAAGTTTCATAGTAGCTATAAGAGATACATACTATTGTTCTCTTCATTCAAAAAATAAAAGGAAATTAAAGCTTGAAGCAGGTTAGTAATTTGCCCAAGTTCCTACATCTAGTGCTTGCAGATACAGATTTCCAATTTACACCCATTTGACCACAGTGCCCAATCATTTAACACCAAAACCAGTTTCCTTTTATCATTTGCCACTGGATTGTAAATTGGCTTTGGATATGCTCATGCCACACCTCACTTTGAAAACCCAACATCCTCCTTCATCTCATTTCCCTCTACTTTGAGAATTTAATTATCTGCCTGCAGCAAAATGCCACAGTTAAAGATTCTCATGAAAACTAAACCAAAGAGGGAAGGACAGTCATAATGTGTATTGATTTTTTTTTTTTGCTTTGTTTTTTTTTCTTTCTGTCCACTCTGACTTTTTTTTAGGGTCTTAGCATGTGGCTAAATCTATTATGTTCTTGTTAAGTCTTAACAATTACTTTCTGGGATGGGCTGGGTAGAATAATTTGTAGAAATTAAAAAAATTTCTAGCTCTACCTTTGACAGTCACATAACACTTTTGCCATACTTTGCCTCAGTTTCCTCATTAGTTCTTCTAGAAACCCTTTATATAAATTAGGAAGTTGGCATCAACTTTTGGGAGAGCTCATCAATGCATTTTTTGTCCATATAACAAACATAATTTGAGTGCCCATTGTATGCAAGGTCCTGTGTCAGGGTGCAGGATACCAAAAAGAAGAAAATATTTTCAACTTACGGATCTCACAGCCTACGTTACAAGTGAAAAAGCAAACCCAACAACACTGAGGTACAGGAGTAGGAGTGAGCACTGGGCATTATGCAAGCACACAAAAGAGGAGCCAGGTTAGCTCTTCTTTCTAGGGTAGGCTACTGAAATTCGTCCTGAGTAGTTGGAGATGGGCATCTGAGCAGTTGGAGGTGGGCTTCTGAGCACTCAGTCATGGCTCCCAATAGGAATAGCTAATAACTAATATGTTTTATGCTATTGACAAACCTGGTCTACCACAAAATTCTGGCCATGGACTTTTTTTTTTTTTGTTGTTAAAATAATAGTATATAGTCCTGGTATATGTGAATTCATTAAGAATCCATCAGTTCTGAGTGTTACTACCTCTAACCCACCAGGCTAGTGACATGCACAAACAATCCAACAACACCTTCCCACTGGTCTGTTTTAACCCATGCAGTGACTATGAAAACCTCCAAAGACACACACACACAGACAAGAAGGGGCCTAAGACATACATGGAGAGAAGAGAAGATGAGATATATAACTGATGGAGAGGAACGCATTAGATACAGGATGAACAAATAACTTAAAATCCATTTTTATTTCTTTTTAAATCACCCTAGAACTGAGGCTCCAGATGTTTCTTATGATTTAACCGTGACTGACAGCAGAAACATGACCACCACTGTCAAATATGTGTGTGACACATTGTCTAATCCTTATGGCTGGATGGCTCTACTCTTGGATGGAGAGACCTACTCATTGCGATTTGAGACCCCTTGGCTCAACAGATCTCTAGAGGTAATCTCAGGAATTCATTCGATTGTGTGTTTCATTCCCCAGGGGTTCTTATCTTTCCTTCTGTGAAATAATAGTTTGCAGGTATTAACATCTTCTGGTGCTGATATAACTGCAGTAGCATTTTGGCTAGATAAATGTGACCTGAATATGAGACATGTTTCTTTTTGTTTTTTTTTAACTTGAAAATTTTAGAATGCGTTTAAACCTCACCTTGAATGGAAAATGGTTCTGCCTGAAATTTTAACTTGGTTAATGCAATGAAAAATACCTTCTAAGCAATTTATAAAATTATATTCTTATATTATGGGTTAAGAAACCAACTTAACCCAGGAAGTGTTTGTAGCCAGAGAAAATGTCTTAACAATACAGTTTTACGTTGCACACTGCCACCTTGTGGTCAAAGATTAACTTACAAATGAAGGTCTAGACTTTCATTTGGGTTGTGTTGAAGGCATTAAATGAGTCATGATAGCAATAGTCATGTAGAAAGTGGGTGCATTTTCTGGAAGAAAAAAAAAAGCAACCTAATGGATTCCCTCAAGCTTCTTTTTCTTTCTTTTAACATATTTATTTCGTCCTGTCTCATCAAACGTATTTTTTCCTAAAAGTCATGAGGGCAGTCTTAGGGAACTAGAAGCTGCTTTAGGTGTGCCATAGTTCTGAGGAATTTAAAGCAGAATCTCTTGATACTCTCACCATTGCTCTCAGAAAGGAGCTCTGTTTCCTGCCCTTGAGGTTCCCATAACAACATTTTGGGGAATTTTAATAATGCGAAGGCAGCAGAATGGTGACTCTGGAGGTGGACACCTTGGGTTTCTGTCCTGCCTCAGCACTCTTCCACCTTGTGATGTGGGGCAAATTACTGAACCTCTGCCTGCCTCAGCGTCCTCATCTGTAAAATGGGGCAGCGATAGTAGCAATCACAGGGGAATTTTCAAGGGTTGAATGCCTTGATATGAAGAGTGCCTGAGCATGTAGCAAATCCCCAACAGCGCTAGCTACTAATGTTACAAATGGATGACACTCCTATCATTGTCTGCCTTTTCAGTTGTGGGAAAAACTGGAAAAGAATTCTAGACCTGCCTCTGTCTCCTCTAGCTGTTTGATCTGAGACAAGTCAATTCGCTTGCCTGGGTCTTGGTTTTCTCCTTTGTTAATTGAAGTTGTTAAACAAGAAGAAACTATGGAGTCTTTCAGTCCTCGAATTCTATGATTTTGTAGCTCTAGTTGTGAATTTATTATAGAGTGGATTTAAGTAAGCCCATTCCCCACAAGGAAAGTAGTCTGGCTGTGAAGTATCCTATTTCTAAACTCCTCCATCTGTGTTCTTTGTAGCTCTGTTTGGAGGGGAGACTTCCGTACTAAATGAGCTCTATTGTACGTTTCTTTCACTTCAAGTACTCAGCAACATTTGGCAACTTTGGTCCTGGGAATTACCTCCTGCTGGTACACACAGTCCTGTGGCCTCACCCTGACATCCTCATAAAATGTGGGAGTCAACTGGGGCGGTCCCTTCCATCTCTTCCATCACCTGGTAAAGACCAAGGCTGTGACTGGTTCTTCAACAGCCAGCTGAGACAACTCACCTATTTGGGTAAGTACGAGGGGATGAGCGTTTGAGGTCACAAAGTCAGAAACCACCATTTACTTCTGAATTTCAGATTTGTGTGATGACGTGATGAGGAGCGGAAGGGGACAGCTGTTTGTTATGGTTAAATAGGTGAACTGTGAAATCAGACTGCCTGGGTTTAAATCCCAGCTCCGACATTTACTAGCTATGGGACACCGAGCAGGTACCATTTCTCTCTAAGTCTCAGCTTCCAGATCTGTAAAATGGGATAGTAATAGGGCCTACCACAAAGGATAGGAAATTAAGTAAAGGGTAACATGTAAAATATTTTAGCAGAGTCCCTAACCCACAGCAAGTGCTTAATAAACATCGTTATGAGTATTTTCAATTCACTTGAAGGCATAGTTGTATTTGTAGAAAGATCAACTGCACAGATAAAGACAGGATGGCTGGTGATGGCCACAGGGACAGCAGAGAGTACAAGGCAACAGCTACAGAGAGAGGAGGAATGAAGAGTGAAGTGAATGTGGAAGGTGACAAGGAGAGCCCTGGAAGGGACCCTGAGGTCAGGAAGGTGAGAAGGCATGGAGGGTTGAGGTGAGGACTGGGGGTGGGGGAGGGCTGTCTTGTGTCAGGATGCAGCATCAAAATGAAGGATCCAGGACCCTCATTTTTTAGGACCAGGAACCCTTCCATGACTGCAGAGTAACAAGAGGCACAAGGATTTCCTTATCTTCTTATTGTGTGCATTTCACAGGAGCCCAATGTGTGGGTCAGTACCAGGTACAGTAAAACCTTGGATTGCGAATAGTTGGTTTGCGAATGTTCTGCAAGATGAGCAAACATTTCTAATACATTTTAACGTGGTAAATGAGTGATGTCTTGCAATACGAGTAGTTTGCTTCCAGAGCGAATTATGCTCGCAAACCAAGGTATTATTGTATTTCTTCTGACCGCCTGGTGTTTGTCTCATATTCCTTCTCCATGCCATGTTAACACTGGTCACTCTGAGCACCATGATGTCCACTTATATTACCCTCAGCTCAGTGTGGTCTGTGAGAAGAATCTGTCCAAATGGGTCTTTAGAATGACAATTTTGTGATAAATGGGTCTTTATAGATCCTGGCCAAATTCAGGGGACCTCATCAGCATGGCCTGTGCTAGTCCCTGCCACAAACTAGACTTGACCCTATGGATTTAGACAGCTAGGCAATTGTCCTGAGTCCCTTGTCTCTCTTATTTGTGCTTAACCATATGTCAACTGAATCTGATTTACACTTGAGCCCCGGGACTCTAAAATTTTAATAGCACCAGAAAGGAGAATATGGTACTTCCCTAATATTTTTATCTCTGCCAAGTAGATTGTTGTATATTTTATTTGCATTGAATTGTACCATTCACATTTTATTTCTGATTTGATCCATCCGTAAATGTAACCTAAAACTGTAAAAGCTCAGGATGGACAGAGGTCCCTGAGACTGTTTTACCACCAGAGCCATTACGCAAAGGCAAATAGTGGCCATTAACTTTAACTATGACTATTCACTTGATCTATATTCTGGAACAAAATTTAATTTCAGATTGTTCTCGTTCTATTACTTCGCATGCTTCTGAAGAGCCTGTCTTGTCCATCGGTCAGATTCTATTCATGAACCGCAAACTAATTTGAACACTCCCATAAGCCAAAATGGTGAAGGCACATTTGTGGCATGAAAAAAATCAAATCATGTAGCTACGGATTTTCTTTTCCTTTTGATAGCATTATTTATTGAATTCTTACTTTCACTTAATTGTTTTTTCAGATTATGTGACTTTATAGGTCTGTGACTGGGGTAATTGACATAAAATACATTTGGTCTAAGAAGAGAGTGTAAATCAAGACCTCAGAGTCTATGTGGATATAGTCCTGGAATGAAAAAAAAAAAAATCATGGGGAGAATTGTGTGTACAAAAGTTTCATTTCATTGTAGGAAAACTGCTTGACCTCCTTCAGGTACACCGACTTTCCTGTTAGACTTTGGGGCTGGGGGAGGTTTGGGGATCCCGCTCCTTCTCCTGGCTGGCGTTTCACTTAAGAGTGCTGCTTCACTGACAGTTGGCTATGTTTCATTCATTTGTTGACCACTTTTAAGTGGATCATCTCTTGTTTGTTTGCGGCCTTACCACATCCCCCAGGAGAGGAAACTTTTTTAAAGCTCACAATTCTCTTCCTTTCCTCTGTTTGGCTATTTCATGTGTGATTTAAGACACCTGACCAGTCTTAGACCCAGCTGAGAATGGGAATAATTAGAACCCAGGCATTCTAGCTCCTGTCTATGGCTCTCTCTCCACTAGAGTGTGCTGCCTGCTCACTAATCATGGATCACTGACCAAAAAGGGTGATGGTGGTGGTGTGTGTGTGTGTGTGCGTGTGTGTGTGTGGGTGTGTGTGGGGGTGGGGTGGGGGGGTGTTAGATAGGGTCTGGGGAGAAAACTTCTCACTGATCCCCAGTGACAACGAAAAACTCCCACATATAATATGTGTTGACCCTTGCATTTCTCTTCTCCACCAAGGCAAGTTTTGTCTTTGTTCAGCCAACATCTTTATGGAATGCAAGTTCTTTGGAAAACTCATGGCCAGAGCTTAGGGCTTAAGGTTTTAATCAGTGGCTGCCTGGCTATTTCACCTGGGGCATGGAATTATAAATGTGCCATGCCTCAATGGCTTCATCTGTTCAACGAGGTTAAGAATACTTATCTCTTGGAATTGTGGTACAAAACACCCACGCATCTTCAAGTGTGATTAGTATGCCCTGTTACTTTACGACAGATTTTCTCAACAGATTATTTCTCCAAAATTTTTCTTTTTTTCCTGGAAGACTAACAATGTCACGTGCCTTGAACTCATCATAACCTCTCTGAAAGGGTCTCATTTTGTTTTTTTCCTTGACTAGATTTTGGTAGATAACTGAGATTCATGATAATAGGACATAAATGATATATCGCTGCCATGATTGAAATTTAATACCACTTAAACAATTGTTACCCACAGAATAAGATAACCTCACTCGTTTAAAACTATCTTTTAAGGAGATTGGTTCAGGTTGCCTTTCTGAAGCTCCTGGGACTCCTGCCCAAGGAGCCACTTACAAATCAGACCACAAGTAAAGTATATACTTGTGTGCTATAGTTGTGTTAGGACCCCAGGGGGGGCGGGGGGTAATAGTAGATGTGATAACCTATTATGAATGGCGGTTCCAAACTATAACTTCTATGCCATGCTTGGGAATGAGTATGACTGTAGAACAAGTGTTCTTTTATATTTTCAAAGTCGAAGTCAAATCTAGCAAGCTCAGTTTTCCATTGGTATGATTTGGTTCACTGGAGGCGCACTTCTTTGCCTTAAACAGACAGTTTCCCACTGCCTCTTTCCCTGCTGTGTTTTTCCAGGGATGTTTCAGTTCATGGTGAACTATTTTTATTTTTTAGTTACATTAACGCTATGAAATAATTAGTCAGCTAATTAATCTGGTTTACAAGCTTTGTAGGATTCTTCAGCTGTCAGTCAGGCCCAGGCCCGAGGCCTACATCTCGTCTCAGCTCTCTTGCCCATGTGATTCCCGTTGCCATGGCTACTGGCTACATCTGCTGACACCCCACTCTCTATTTATTGCTTAATTAAGAATTTCACGCTCAGCCCTTATCTGCCTCTAAGAACAAGCGCACACTGTTAAGAAATTCCAAATTTAGGCCCAGGCACAAGGAAAGCCTTTCTTGCCGGCTTGGCTGGATGGAGCCTCTCTAACGATCTTCTCGGCATCCCAGCCGCCACCCTTCAATCAAAAATCATTAAATGGGGCAGAGATAATGAGCATGTAGCATATCAAAAGAAGGATGTTTGCTTGATCCAAAGGAGGAAAAGCTGCTAGGCCCCATGCTCAGCTCCACTTCAAAGGGAGATGAGACCCCTCATCACTGGGGCCTGATAAAGCCTCATTTGTTCTGGGCTTGACTTATGCAAAAGGTCTGGTATGTCCAAGTCCCCGTCTCACAGACGTGGGATACCCCCACCTCTTGCCTCCACCTCCACCAGCCCCCCTCACTGGCCTTCCGCACGCTCGTGTGTCAGCACTTAGGCAGCTGGGTCCCCCAAAGCATCAGGCAGAGCGTATAATCACTGACTCTCCACTGACAATGGCCACTTGTAGGGGGGTGGCCTGGAGGAGGTCTTCATCACAATAGGAACACAATTATTGCAGCTGCTAGGGCGGGCTATGCTTCTTCCTGTAGAAATAGAATAGGACTTGCCCGAAACAGGGGGACAAGGTTGAGGGGATGTGATGGGGGTTGAGAGGGGTGGAGAAAACAATCTTGAGTTGATTATTCATATTCTGACTCCTAGAAGCCCGATGCGGAACCAGTGGGGTTCCAGCAGCTGCTCGTGCACAGCCCTCTTCTAATAATTGTACATTCTGTCAGGGGTCAACTTACTTTTGACCCCGTCCTTTTATATGGGTAAAAGGCTCTTTAGGGCAAACTGTTGGGTTGTGGCAGGGTGCATTAAACACTCACAGCCCCTTCCCCTTGCTTTATCCCCCACCCAACCAGCAGCCGGTGATAAATTCATATCAGATGCTGAGCCATTCACCACTGCCCTCCCGGGTTCACACAGCCCCCACTCTCGCAGCAGAAATACTGCGGAGCTGGGATATTGTGTGAGGCGGCAGCTGAGAAAGTCCGCCTGGTAGGCTCAGAGGCTCCTGTGCACCACCTTTTCCTGATCGGGCTGAAAAGAGACATGTCTAGCCAGGCTGGCCAATGCTTGTCTCCAAGTGTTCGCCTCTCCAAAATAAAGGCAGGCTGTTTGGCAAGTAGCCGGGGCTGTTGTCCAGGAGAGCACGAGGGCTGTAGATAGAGAGACAGATGGAGTTTATTGTCTGCACCAGGTGCCCTGAAGATCTCCCATCACAGAAGGCTCCAAAAAGATGCTGTGATCTTGGGAGATCCTGAAAATAAGGAATGTTTTCCTAAGTTTGTGGCTAGGA